ATTGTTGACGCTGTAAATTGTTCTAAATGGTGTAATTTTCGTTTTTACCACCTCAGTAATAAACTAAACACACATTTCGTTATGAAACAAGTTGAGTAGAAAACTGACCTTCAGTTATTGTGAACATTTATCATCTTCGGAGACAACATCTAAAGATTTGAATTGATTCATTATTTTCTATTAAAATTTTGTTTTGGGACAAAAACGGGTTAAACTGCGTCAAACAGAAAATAACTGACTTGTATTTCTGCATTCTGATTTTAATTAACTTTTATTTTGAAAGGCTTCAGTGAAATGTTCAGCCTAGGAACTGGCTGAGGTCCTGCTGGGGGCCACCAACGGCCCCCGAACCGCAGCTTGGACACATCGCTGGAGGAAAACATCTGGTGATGAAACTGTCAGATTTCAGGTCTGAAAGTGTAGCTGGTTCCGGTCGGGTCGGGTCATACCGGTTCCGGTCCGTTCGGGTTGAGCAAGGTCATGTCGGGTCATACCAGTTTGGGTCAGGTCGGGTCGGGTCGTGCCGGTTCCAGTCGGTTCGGGTTTGCCAGTTCGGTCACACCGGTTCCGGTCCGGTCGGATCGAGCCGGTTCCAGCCGCTCACCTTTAGAGATGGTGAGCGCCGGCGACCACTGGGACCGCAGGATGTCCAGGCAGATGCTGCCATTGCTGTTGATGTTTGGGTGATAGATTCTGGTGGTGAAGGCGACCTGGAAGAGGAGCAAACGGATCGGGTCAGAACCGGTGCCGACCCGGGCCGGGTCGTCCGGGCCGTTCTCACCTTGGGCGGCTTGAAGGGATAATCGGTCGGGAAGTGGATGGTGAGAAAGAACACGCCGCCCTGGTACGGACTGTCGGGCTGCAACAGAACCAGAACCGCAGGGTCAGTCCGGATCACGAAACAAGCAGAGTCCTGATCCGGGTTCTGGTTCTGGTACTTACCGGACCCATGATGGTGGCCTGCCAGTGGAACACTGAAAACAGCAGAGCAGAGTCAGAGAAGCAGCAGCTTCATCAACAGAACCGGCCGGAACCGGACAGAACAGAACCCGACAGAACCCTACAGAACTGGAAAGACCCGGACAGAACCGGACAGAGCCGGCCGGAACCGGACAGAACCAGCTGGACCTGGACAGAACAGAACCCGACAGAACCGGACGGAACCTTACTGTCTTCGCCGACGGGCCCGGCTGAGCATTGGGCCGGAGGGTCTCTGGACAGGTCCGTTAGTTCCTGCAGGAACAGAACCAGAACCACAGGTCAGAGGTCAAAGGTTAACACATGAAGAAACAAGATTCTGAGATTCCGGGTTGGATCAGAACTCTTCTGAGCCCAGCAGAACCACAGCTTTGATACCAGCAAACAGAACCGGACTAACTGTTGTCTTCTGGACAAAAACCCAACACTGGTTCTGATCCGTTCAGAAGCACCAAACCAGAACCAGTTGGAGGTTCTGCTCCAGTCTGAACATTAGGAACCGAACTGGGTCGGGTTGGGTCGATGCGTGAGCAGCAGCAGCAGCTATATTTACCCTGACAGGGACTGGATCGGGACAGGCCGGCCCGCGGGTCGGCTGCTTATAGAACCGGCCGAGTCGGGTTTCCAGCCAAGCCGAGTGTGTGTGTGTGTGTGTGTGTGTGTGTGTGGGGTGTTGGTATGTGTCACATTGGATCAGAACACGGATCGTCTTTCGGGTCCGGCTGGGTTCAGCAGGTAAAGGTCCGGTCCGGCGGGTAGGGAATTCCCCTCTGGAGGTCCGAACATCTCAGCTGGACATCCAGAGGTTCTGCTGGGACAGAACCACCGGGTCACTGACCATATTTGGTAAAGTGACAGTAAAGTCCAGGACCAGATGAAGCTCCAACCAGCCGGTCCCCCTGAGGAAGACCCAACAGAACAACAGAACCAGAAACAGACAGGATCTGGTCTGAGGTTCTGATGGATCATCTTTGAACCAAAGAGAGACGTTTGGACCTGCAGCTGGACCACTGGGTGGACTGGTTCTGTTAGTTCTGTTCACCTGCAGCACCTGTTGTGGAGCTGGATTGTGATTGGTCCATAGCTGAAAGGGGGCGGAGCTACAGACTCAATCTGATGTTGATGGTTCCACATCACTGAGAAGAACCGGGCCGAGACCTGAGTTGAAGGCAGTTTGCTTCATTAGACCGGAACCAGCTGAGGTGGTTCAGGCTGAACAGAACCACCGAGCCTTTGGACCGAATCTGGGCTGACATCAGAACCTGACCCACAGCAACAACCCGGCGCTTTTCCTCCGACCAGAACCGAACAGATACCGACCATTTGGAAGAGCAGGTTAACGCCTGATAAAGGCTCCGAACCGAACCGAACCGAACCGGCCGGAGGAACAGGCTAACAGCAGCGAACAGCGCTCTGGGAAACTGACTGAAGTTGGCTTCTGATTCGAAGCCTCTTTAAAGGGCTGTTCCGCTGCTTTTTACGAACCCGCAGCAGCTTTAATCGGTTCTGGTTCTGAACTAGTGAAAGTGGATTGTTCTTCCATCTGCTTGGGAAAAACTGTCCCTTTCAAGATGACTGAAAGGGACAGAGTCCATGTCAGGTCCCATTATAAATATTGCAAATTATTATTGTAAATAAAAGTCTTTAAAACAAAGTTTATGATTTCTAAATCTGGAAGTAAATCAGAATAGAACCAGATTTAAAACTATTTGGTCTGTTCAGACCTGAGCCGAACCGTCTGTTTATGATGAATGGAAGTTTTATTTTGGTTTTAGAAACTGATACATTATTACACACATTAAAATATAATATTTAATGTTTTTTTTTCCAACAGGTTTAAGGTGTTGGATCATAAACTGGGTTCTCCAGAATCTGTAGTCTGTGTGGAATAATTCGGGTCAGGTTGGACCGCTCTGAGTGTTTTGGGTTTTTAACTACAGCTGATCAAATCTGGGCCTGAACCATTAAAAACTGCGGACTGGCCCTTTACTGAAGCACCGAATCAGAAGCTAACTTCGGCGTTGAGTTCTGTGGCTCATGATAAAGCTAAAACAAGCCGAGAGTTACCTTAGAAATCCGTTTTAAAGCCATTGTGTCTGTCAGAAGGGACCGGCTGTCGAGGAGGAGGTGGCGGAGGAGGAGGAGGAGGAAGAGGAGGGCAGGCCAGCTAGCTGACGCTGACTAACTAGCATCTAGGACTCTGGTAGCTTCTGTGTTTCGCTGCACATGCGCTGCTTAGACTGCACCGGGTTCCCGTTAAATATGTTCCTGCTTCACCGACCAACAGTCCGTTAGCCCCGAACTCACACTGAGACCCCACAAACAAACCGGACCGACCCCAGCGGCTCAAAATGTCTTCCGTTACATACAGCAGCTGTCAGAGCACCGGGACAGGAGGTCTCACTCTGACTGAGATTCAATAACAGAGAGCAGGAGGTCTCACGCTGACTGATATTCATATCACTCAGAGAAAAGGCTCAATCTGTAGTCATTCCACTAAAAGATGGAGGAGGTCTCACTCTGATTGAAATATGATTTATCTCATTTCCCTTCTCTCTCCATTTGCCTGGGCAGATTGAAAAGTACTAAAAGAGGCCAAGAAAAGTGAATTAAATCAGATAAAACTGATAGGGAGAGATTACTGAAGACACATCATTCAAAAAGATAAACTTATCTGATGAAAATATTTAATTAAAAATAACATTTTAAAAAGTAACAAGTAAGAAGAAGTAGGGAGGAGAAGAAGAAGACAGCGAATTGTTTAGGTGAATAATTCTTCTTCACCTAAAGACTTAAAGATCCAAGTCAGAAAGTTAGACAAACACAAAATATGCTTTAATGCAGCAGGCTCAAATTGTAATTAACATATAATAACAAACTTATTCCAGTGTGCTACATTCGTTAGTGATGGACATTATAGCATCAAACATTGAGAAAAACATAAACACTATCTTGCAGAAATAAGTGAAACATAACTCAGAGGAAAATAAGATCTTTATTGATCAAAAGGTGAATGTAAAAGGTTTACAGAAATATGAAAACACAAACACAATTTCTGATGCAGTTTTCATCAAATATGGCTGCATTCACTAGCGTTCATATTTGAAAGCTACATGCTAAAAGCTACATTCATTAATGATGCGCGTGGGTGTGACGTCATCAGGGCGTCATCTTCAGCACGGTCCGTCTCTCACAATCAAAATGTCTGCATTTTTCTCCCTGAGCAGAAATAACCAACATTTATATTTCACAACCATAAAGTCAAATGTCTATTTGTCTTAATCCAGATTATGAATAGAAAAAAGCTTTACTGTCCCATAGAGGGAAACGTAAGGTCGCACAGAAAAGTTCCAAAAATGGTTAAAATATTTTTAAAAACATAATTAACAACAGTAACAATAATAAGAAAGATATTAACAATACTGTACAAGACAGAAGTACCTGGCTCATATATATAAATTTAGACGTTTTGTTTTTACTCAATAAAACGCTTCAAAGTAATTAATCTGATCACCTCAGCATTTTTGATCATTTTATTTTTTTATTTTTTGTCTTTATTTAAAATATGTATTTCTGTGAATATTTGAACATGTTTTATTTTTAAAAACAGACTAATGACTGGAACAGGTTCTGCTCTCAAACTGAACCCAGAAGAACAGCACCAGGGTCTGTCTCCGTGGTAACGGAATCAGGGTCTGTCTCCGTGGTAACAGATTCTGAGGAGAAAACTCCCTTGCTGACGGTTTGTTTTCGACAGATCGGTTTGTTTTTCTTCCTGTTCATGATGTAAGCAGTTTTTATTTGGACATGTCCAGTAAATGGTTCTGTGTTCCTGTGAGTTGGATCGTTTAAACGATGTGCTCCTGCAGGTGAACTCACAGTCGCTGGACGCACAGCGAGCATTCGTTGGGGTAAGAGACGCCGTCGCTGCCACACACCGGAGAGTAATTCAGTGGACACGCCTGAGTGGCGCTCATCCCCACACAGGAGGGCTGCAGGACAGAAAGAGGTAAAAAAAAGCATCACAACATCAGGAGCCAAACTCAGGAGAGGTTCTGGTTCTGGTTCTGGTTCTGGAGGCCAGAAGATCCAGAGTCTTTACTCTGATGGTTGATTTTCTTGGTGGGGTTCTGCTCCAGCTGCAGATCAGTAATTCTGCGTCTGGTCAGAAACCTGCAGCACGGCTTCTTTAGAGGTCATTTAACAGAAACTCAAGGTCACTAATGACCTGCAGACTGATCCAGAAACTGGTTCTGTCTGTTCAGACTGGACCTCGCTGCCTCCATGTGCATCAGGCTGTATTTAGCCTCAGGGTTCTGGTTCTGACCCATTACAGCAGAGCATATTGAAAACTATCAATGCTAAGCAGATGATTTTCTGCTCTACGTTTCTTTCACTTTGTGAATAAATGTAATTTAATTTTATTGTGCAGCTTATAAATGAGTATTTCAAGAAAATATTTCACATACAGTTACAGAACCTAACTTTGTCAATATTTATCACAGATCAATACTTTTGGTGTCAAATAATACATAATTATATCCATAGAAATCATATTTACTGTTATCTTTGTTGTTTTTAAAGATGGCTGCCATGGTTCTCATCAAATAGTAATTTTTGTACTAAACTCACCAATTAGATAAAAGTGTTTGATGTAAAATCACAGCCTACATATTTATACCATAGAAATCATAAATATTTCATTGATTCTATGTTTCCTTTTTCTGGTGGCCATTTTGGAAAATGGCCACCGTGGTTTAAATGGAGAATATATCCATTATAACCTTTATAGTTATTGTCAGAGAAGGGCACAACTAACCAAAAAGTTAGGCTTACTAACTACTAATTAGCTAAACAAGAATCCTAACTATGGTCATGTTAACTACTAAGCACATAAAATAATTAGTGAACGGTAATGCTAACCACTAAGAATTAGCAGACGCTAACGCTAGATTTTTCCAAAATGTTAATGGAGTTGTGGACCAACATGGACTGAAAATCATTTCTACAGATTTTAAATGTTCTCAAGCAGAACCATCCGGACCTTTGGAGACGTTCTGATGGCAGTAAAGCTGAAGTTTTTGGACATGATGAGCAAAAGGAAACGCTGCCAAAAACAGGAAATGAAACCAGAGAATTTGAAGAAACTGATTGAAATAATTCCTGAAAAATTCTCTTGTTTCTCTGATTATTCTGAAGGAAATATGTCAATAATAATAATGTGTGTAAAGATGCAGTTTGCTCTGATTTGGCGACAGGATGAAGGCGTCTGCAGAACATGATGATGAAACTGTTTCACAGTTTTCCTGTAATTTATAAAAATTTTCCAACATGATGATGTTTCTTACCCTCCTGTGGAGCCTGGATTTGTCTTCAGCACCTGGAAAAAAAATTCAATGGCTTTATTCCTATTTTTATACACTTTGTTTGCTGAATACAGTCTTATAATTAAAATGATTTAATTTAGGTAAATTAAACAGTTTAAATAAGGATTTCAGTAAAATGTTCCTGCTTCTGGTTTTACCTGCACAGAGGAGAAGCGTCAGAAAGACGAGCAGCAGGGTCCTCAGAAACATCCTGGATGAATTTTATCCTGAAATAACGTCTGTGGGTCTGATTGGCTGCCAGTTTTTCTGTGCGCAGGTCCGGCTGCTTCAGCCTTTTACGAGTTCGCTGTTGTTGTGACGGCTGCTGCGGCCTTTTGTTCAGGACTTAATCTGTGGATCAACATTCTGTCTGCGGTGAAATATCGCTGACGGAGCGCAAAAATGTCCCAAGATTGAGGGTCAGAAAAACACGTCTGGCTGAACGCAGGTCAGAAACTCAGCAGAAGAATTTTAAAACAGCAAACATTTCAGCAGCAAAAAACATGAATGTAACAATTCAAAAGTGATTAAAGCACAAAAACAGACTTTGTTTAAGCCGTTTCCCACCTTTCTGCTGAATTATCTGGGCTAAGCTAGAGACTGCAGTAGGTTCAGTCTTTTTTTACTCAAAATACTTTTTAAAGCAGCAAAGTTTCCAAATCAAACTTTTCACCAAAGCAGTGATGGAAGGAAACAGTTTGTGAAAATGTATGTTGAATGTTTGAATTTCTGCTCCTGATGTTTTTCCATCTTCATCAAAAGAGATGAAGACAAGTTTAAGTCTATGATAGTGACTCGTTTATATTTTAAAATAAAGATAATCCGATTTATTTCTGATCACAGTCTCCACTCAGACATCCAGATGTTTGAGACATGAGGGCAGAGATGTGACCCGATCTGAACTTTGACCCCGCTCTGAGCCTGCAGGTCCCAGTGTTGGACCGGGTCGTCACTTTTCCTCCTTTACAAGCAAACAGAGATTTAAAGCTGCTGCTGCTCAGAGAGCAGAGGGAAACCTGGGAGCCTCTCGCTTTACAACTCTTGATTAAATTATTTTTTCATGGTCAGAAAAAGTAAAAAACAAAAATCTTTGGATTGTTATAATACTGATACAATATTAGAAGGTCAAATATATTTAAGTATTTCAAAGTAAAACCTATTGTACTGTGGTTCAGATCTACTGGTGTTTCTGGACAATCAAACTAAAAATTAATCAGGAAATAATGAATGGCTAAGATAATAAAATACATTCAGTGGATCATGATTTTAATTTATAAGTACAGATTTTAATAAAATCTGGATTTATTTAATAAATAGCATCAGTTTAAGAAGTTAAACTGTTTCTCCAGAGGTTTGTGTTCGGATATCAAAAACACATAGAACATTTCCACAATATTGAAAGTGAAACTTTCTGCTGATATTTAGCTTTTACCTCCTCAGGTCCGGATCTGAAGCATTTGTTGGATGAAATGACTTCTAACGTAAATAAACTGAACATTTGAGATGATGAAACAAACATTAATTGTTATTTCTTGATAAAGCTGAAATGATTATTATAGTAAATACTAGGATATTATGCACATAGACAAACAAATTGATACTGAAAGAATCAATGAAAACAGATCTTCATGCACTACGCCGTCTGAACTGGAGGTGGCGCCATCGAAGCTTATAGGCTCCACTATGAAGCTGGCGGAAATGCATCTGTTTGGACACAAGAAGAAGAAGAAGCAGAAGCAGCTGCCAGCCGACGTGCTTGTAGCGTCGGTTTGGGTCCGCGTTCCAGGTTCGGTTCGTGGTTAGGAGCTTTCGCGGTTTAATCTGAGCTGGACCTGAAACATGTACGACCAGGACGAAGGTAAGCAGGAAGTGAGGAGAGAGGAAACAGGAAGTGATTAAAAACCTTATTGATCTGCTAACGGAATGCTAGCTAATGCTAGTTCTAGCTTCACTGCTCAGAACAAATGAACTGATCAGGAGCTGATCACCAATTCCCGATAATCTGCTCAATAATACCGGTTACATGCGCATGTTCAGTGTGCGCGG